TGAGCAACCTCTAGTTGAAGATGTCCCTGCCCATGGCAGGGGGGTTGGACCAGATGACCTTTAAAGGCCCTTTCCAACCCAAACTATTCTATGATTCTATGATTCTAAGAAATAGTGACTGACGATACCGGTGACAAACAAAATTCAAGTAGATAACCATGAAGTGACATATATGTAAAAAAATAAATTTCACATGTACAAGTTGAGTTCTGAGCTAACGACTGCAGTTCAGCGTTGATTTTTTGGGTTATGACAGCCAGTTTTAAAAAAATGCCAGCTTAATCCGAGCAGTAGGAAGTAAAACAAATTTTAGGAGTCACAAAGATAAAAAAGAGAATAAAAGAGATAATACTGTTATTTCGTCATACAAATCCATGGTTTGTTCATATCTTAAGAACTGTGCAAAATTCTGTTGGTCCCACAGAAAAAAGTTATTGCAAAACTAGGAAAGACTTACCAAAGGGCAACAAGGATGATCGAAGTTAGGGGTGTGCTTAGGTATAAGAAAAGATTAGGCAAACTAAAACTCTTCAATCTAGAAAAGAAATGGCTGATACCGGACACAACAAACAACAGTTCAGTCATGTGTCATGAAAAGGAAGAATAGTGACTGATTGCTCCATATCTCTTCCAATGTAAGACTTAAATGGTATGAAGTTAACAGAGGGCAGCTGAAAAAAGAAAAAAAGGAGGGGTCCTTCATTTAATGGGTAATCGACCTACATTTTACCAGAGGATATTTTGGATGTGAAAGGTGTATTTGCTTTCAAGAGGAGACAAGGTGAGGTTGTGGAAAAGAAATCCGAGTGTTACTATATGCTCAGGAACCACATAAAACTCAAAAAGGTTCTGGTTGGAGGCTAGAAATGTGGGAAAGCATCAAATATGCTACCTCTTTTTTATATTTTTCCCTAGGTAGCCACTTTATTCTACTGCTGGAGACAAAATACTGTGCTACATGGACCGCTGCATGTTCTAAACTAGTTACATTAAGTACAAGTTTCCATATTAGAAAGAAATTACATTTTTTGATAGCTGTTGTACTGGATATGATAAAATAGTATCTTACCCCTTCTTTTCGTTCATGCAGGTTTAAATATTTTAAATTGTCTTCTGCTATTTCGTCTACAGTCTGGGGCCTAACCACTAATGTTTCCATGGCATCAGTGAGAAATGAAGAAACATCATATAAGTGAGCTATATAAAGAAATGTGGAAAACAAAGTTATGGAGAAAATATTTGTAGTAATAAATATGCAAGTTAGACAAATGTACTGTGATACCACATTGTCATAACATATGATAATGTACACAAAGTATTTGGTTAAAAAACTGCAGACCCCAATTTTATATGCTGCTTCAGCAAAAATTGCATGTTTGTGTTTACACATAGTTTTTTAAATGTAATCCAGTGTTCAGTGTATCATTTAGACCGTAAGTATCAGAGTCCCTTCTGAGAATTAAACGTAAATACCTAAGGCATTTTTTTATACACTTTCAAAATCTGTATAGGTCTTTTTTGGGTAAATGGAGAAAAACAGATGTTAAAATTGTTTTGGGGGTTTTGGGGTGTTTTTTTATTTGGTTTTCTTTTTTAAAGAAACTAACTAACTAAAGCCACCTTGCTTTAAACATTGAACAGATTCACAAACAAAAGCCTGATTAACCTATAATGTTGTATTTTCCTACCAAGGTAGATATTTTTGGCACTGGGAAAGGAGCTCTACAATTCCAGGAAATAATACATCTTCCAGGAAACGATTCATCTTTCAGGTTATGGAAATAATTCACTTTCTGCACAACCCCCGTTCTGTGTTTCCTGTGCTGATGGTTATATTTAAAGCACAAAGCAATGATATTTCTTACCATCTACACCTTATTCCATTTTTTCTACCTGTTTCAGATATAGATAGACCACCCAAAACCAGGGAAATATTTTAACACTCTTTAACACTCTGCATTTTGACAATCTAAGTGACAAGTAACTCTGTGGAATAAGCCTAGGTTATTTAAGACTCCTGATGAAGTATTTCAATTTGTGAAAGAAAAATCTAATAATTTTCTTAGTTACAACGTTTCATGATGCCTCCTTCAATTACCCTCAAACGTCTAAGAAATTTTCCTCCCTCAAACGTCAAAGAAATACTCCTCCAGACAAAAGAAACAAGGAAAATAATGTTCATATGTATTCTTTTACATCTGGAACAGATGTGGCCAAAACAAGTGAATGTGAAAGATGCACATGGACATCAAGGGGTCTTAGATTAGGCCTGTAGTGAAAAATCAGTAACAGATTACTTTCTCTGCACTGTGATTTCTGCAGCTCACTGCCCAAGAGTAAAATATTTCTTAAATAAAAAGAGTATTTATATTAACACAAAAGTCTGCAAGTACAACAGAAACAAAAAAAACAGTATTCATTAAAGTTATTTACCTTGAATAGATTTTCTCAAAGAAATGACAAGAACATCATACAACTTCTGGATGAAATCATCAATTACAGTTTTCACAGGGTTGCAATTAACAGTTAAACAATCTATCCTGATGGTGCTTCAAGACAAAAGATTAAAAAATAGCAAATATTCAGTAGTATACTTATGTGTCAATGTCTCTAAGATCTATGCATGTCTATAGTTTACCCTGATTTTGTAGCCTAATTAGAAAAAATTTCCCTTATAATTCTACAAATAAAAGTCATAGCTTATTGGGAAAATTACTTATATTATTGAAATATTTATAAACACTAGGCATATATATGCGGTTTTATGGGGACTAAGGTTTAATGCTCTGCTCCTCCAAATAGTTAGAAAATTACTTGATTTTATATAACCAATGTCACTAAATTCGAAAGGACTATTTCTATACTCAAAAAGAAAAATATTTTATTTATTTGTACAGTCATGACTTTAAATCTCTAATTTCCATGAGAAACCCAGACTTCAATAGTCCTAAGAACATAAGAAAAGCCACAGTGAGTCATATCAAGGCCCCATAGCTAATATCTCACAGTGACTATAAGTAGATGCCTAAAGAACACTAAGAAAAGGGGTACCTTATTTGATACTTTCCTGAGTATCCTCCCTCAACACCAATTATTTTCAAATCATGGCACTTCACAGCCACATGTGGTTTCTGGCTATAAGACACGTCAGCCAATTTCTCTTCTATTCACCGCAGTCTGTCCTTGAACTCATGAAACTATTTACTACTCAGAATATCACTCAGACAACAGGTTCTACCAGTCCATTCTCCTGCATGAAGTGTCACCTCTTTTACTTGTTCTGAACATGATTCCCACCAGTTTCATTTGAGAACTCTAACCATGCAATACACTGAATTCCATATGAATATATGTAAGAATAAAAGCCTACACTAGTACATCTTAAGCTATAAGTTATAAGAGGTAATCAAGTGTTTAAATACAGGAATTATTTAATGTATAAACATTTACTAAGTCTGTTCCCAACTGCCACATATACTCCACATGTACAGAACTTGGCTAAAAGGAAACATTCCGCCTGGCGGAAAAGGACCTGGGGGTGTTGGTTGACAGCCAGCTGAACATGAGCCAGCAGTGTGCCCAGGCGGCCAAGAAGGCCAATGGCATCCTGGCCTGTATCAGAAATAGTGCGGCCAGCAGGAGTAGGGAAGTGATCGTGCCCCTCTACTCGGCCCTGGTGAGGCCGCACCTCAACTACTGTGTTCAGTTTTGGGCCCCTCACTACAAGAAGGACGTCGAGGTGCTGGAGCGTGTCCAGAGAAGGGCAACGAGGCTGGTGAGGGGTCTGGAGAACAAGTCTTATGAGGAGCGGCTGAGGGAACTGGGGTTGTTTAGCCTGGAGAAAAGGCGGCTGAGGGGAGACCTCATCGCTCTCTACAACTACCTGAAAGGAGGTTGTAGCGAGGTGGGTGTCGGTCTCTTCTCCCAAGTAACTAGCAATAGGACAAGAGGAAATGGCCTCAAGTTGTGCCAGGGGAGGTTTAGATTGGACGTGAGGAAAAAATTCTTTACTGAAAGAGTGGTTAAACCTTGGAACAGGCTGCCCAGGGAAGTGGTGGAGTCCCCATCCCTGGAGGTATTTAAAAGACGTGTAGATGAGGCACTTAGGGACATGGTTTAGTGGGCATGGTGGTGTTGGGTTGACAGTTGGACTCAATGATCTTAGAGGTCTCTTCCAACCTTAATGATTCTATGATTCTATGAATTGTTAAAATATCACCGTGTTTTGTAATATTTCAGAATCCACCCTGAATTTTGAGGGGGTTTCCCATCATATCGAAGGAAGACATTAAAAGTTTTCAGAGAAGGCTGCACAGATAAAAGGGAATAAGTGTCTAAAAATAAAACTGAAAAACAAAAATCTAAACATTTAAAAAGTACATCAATATTTTAAAACCACTTGAAATTCTATCTGTATCTCCACATAAAAAGAATATTTCTATTTTACTATTATCTTTAAAGTATCTGATAGAATATGTTATTCAAACAAAAGAATAGAGTTACACTATACCTTGGAAGACGTTCTGCTTCTTTCCCTCTCACTTTTAATGCTTTGAAGTTTTTTTCCCAGTCCTGTTTGCTAGAAAGATGTGTCTTCACCAGAGTTTCCATATCTACTTGGCCAATTACGATCCATTCCTTTTCAACATTATTTTTGATTTCATGGAAAAGAAATATTTTCCAGATTAAAAAACTCTGTTTCTCAATAATATTAAAATACTTTAATAACGTTTTCAAGCTACATTCTCTTTAACCATTGTGTTCCTTCAATTACCTACAGATTCTCTTAGTGCAAAAATCAGGAGGTACAAAATGGTTTGACATATTCACACATTTAAGGATAATCAAAACAGATTTTGAACAAGAGTAAAAAGACAGCTATAATACTGAGCTTTCAATGGGAACATATGCTTCAAGCTAGGTATGTGCTTAAGTGGTTGGCTTAATATGGATGGACTTTCTAAGCTTTTGCTTATATGCCTTTCAGAAAAGGACAATAATGCACAAATGTCATTGCTCAGTTACTTCTAGAATGTCTGAAGCTTAAAATGACACAAATCTAAAAAAAAAAAAAAGTATGAGTCAGTCAAATATTGAAAATACCTTGAACTGATTAGAAACTTCTGTCAGCCTTCTGAACAAATCCTCTGCTTTGCTGAAAGCGGTCAGAAATCCATTTGCATTTCTTTCAGTCATAACAGTGAATATAGACTCTTCTTCTACTTCACTTACTCCCCTAAACTGATTTGGAATGGAGATGAATCTCTTCATTTCTCTGTAATATCTAGCTCGTACTTCTTCAAAAGGAGGTCTGAATTGCAACCGGCCTTGCCTAAAAAGTGAAACAAATCATACAAAAACTAATACTTGAATGTAATCCGAGTCAGAATACTTTCTTAATAGGAAAAAAAAATCTTACTTGAATGTTAGGTCAATATTTATTTCTGGTAAATTCTCATTGAGTGCTTCTAAGCCCATTTGATACTGATGCTCCAGAGCTTTGTAAAGTTGATGATTCCAGTGCTGTCTCCAAGCTTTCATATCACATGATTTGAAACCCTAAAATTTAACAATGTTTATTTTTATTTTATTTTATTCCTCAAACCATAATTATAATCTGAAACTGAGCACAGTACAATGCCTGAAGACCAGGATTTTAGTAAAATTCAAAGAAGTATCACACCACTGGAACAGGCTCCCCAGGGAAGTAGTCATGGCACCAAGCCTGTCAGAGTTCAAGGAGCGTCTGGATGATGCTCTTAGTCATATGGTTTAGTTTTAGGTAGTCCTGCAAGGAGCAGGGAGTTGGACTTGATGATCCTTATGGGTCCCTTCCAACTCAAGATATTCTATGATTCTATGATTCTATGACCAGTTTGAATATTAAGAAGATCTAGAGCTATTACATTTATTTCAAATGAATATAGGAATAAAAAAAAATACCCAAATAAAACCAGTAGGGCAGTCCAGCATAACAACTTCACTGAGGTTCATGCCCCATTGGTTTACTATGAGATTCTTCAAGGTTACCCTAAAATGCATGGGACTCTGCTAGAAATAAGATACAGAGCTGGCTGAATGAGAGATCTAAACCTGTATCACACTTTTAATTTTCCTATGATATGTAAGCTACCTTTTAAACAGCATTTCAGAAAATTCTTGTGTGTTTCCACAGATCAACGTTAACTAATAAGTAGATATAAGATTTCATCTTAAAGAATTCAGATTTTCATTAGAATCTGCTACATTGCACTGTAAGAATGTGTAAAGCCATATCATACACTCAAGTCTGTAAATGATCACTGGTAAGCCATCCAAGGGTTTTCAAAAGGGCAATGCAAGTTCAAAAAGAAATTAGAAACTTCTTCCAGCTTAACAGGTTCTCTTCTTATTTAATTGGATAGAGATTTTCAGCCAGGGCTTTGGAGGCAGTCCAAGGTTGCTGCAGGAAGCTACGCAGTTAAGATCTGCCTTATAATTCAAGGCTGCCCGGAGGAACTCTTCCAACAGGAAGATTCCAGTAAGAAAATTTGAAATGGTCTCAATTAAGCCATAAGACAATTATATATAGGGGTTTTAAAGAAATATGTAAAATCTTGATGACAACAGCAGTAACACTATACCATCTTGTAATTTTGGACGGTGAAAACAGGATACACTTGGTTAAGTTTTATCACTTCTAGTCAAGGATAAAAAAAAGTGACTGAATACAGCTTAGTTAATTTACCATATAAAGTACTCTGTAATACCAAAACAATTTTCAAACAGATCTTAAACCAAATATAGACTATTAATTTTAAGAAAATATACTGACTTAAAAATAAAAATTTGCAAACTAAATTTCACAAGAAATTACAAACCAAAAGCTGAGTCCATGCATTTATTTATTATTCACATTATCTTGAGAAGATGGAAAAAATTATAAGAAAAATACAATTAAAACACTGCCTTTATTTGACTGGCAAATAACAACTAAAATAATCTGGGTTTGCATTAAAAAGGCTGAGAACACCACATACATCTGAGAATATAGTCCCATTATTGTTGAAGGCTATAGGAAAAATTAAACTGACTTGAATGATACCTCAAAATAGCTTAGGTGATAGTAATATCATCCAGTTACTTCAATAAGATGACATTCTTTATCAAAATCTTAATCATCTTACTCAATGGTCTTAAGGGTCTTTTCCAACCTAAATGATTCTATGATTCTATTCTAAAAGTTGACAGCTGATAAGTGAACAAATAAAAATGTGGCTTTTTCATTATTTCATGCAGAAATGCATTTTAATTCTAAATTTTATACATTTGTTCTATGCTGCCTGGGGATCACTCATATCTGTACCAATTTCTTTATTTTACCTTGCGTTAATGGCTCAGACACAACTGATCTACATGACCTAAGGTTTTCCCATTTTTTCATCTAACCCCTGTCATCTGACCAAGTGTTCTTCTTCTCCCATTACTAGTATTACATAAAAAAGATTATCCTCACCCTCCTCATCTGAGATTTTACCTCACATCTGGCATCAACTACGTAGTACACAGTCAGTTTTCCTGAGCTAGCTAGTAACTCCTTAATCAAAATTAATTCAATCATACTATGCTTGAGTCTTAAATCTTGATTACTGTTGAAAAGTCAAATGTTCACAGTTTGCAATATGATAATGAGACCCTGCCTGTGACTCAAGGCTGGCAAAACCAGTTCTGAGCTCCTGGAGTCCATCTTTCCAACGCTGCTGCTGCCGAAGTAGATCAATATTCATGAGAGAGATAACCTGTTAAAAGAATTGTAAAGGATAATAAACACATTCATCACCACATAAATGAAAAAAAGGGTAAAGTAATCTATGAGAGACCTGATTTCAATTTCACCTGGAAAATATACCTTTTCAATGAAGTTTGTGTGCCACTTCCTTAGTTTTCTATTTTCAGTGGAAAGCCGTTCAGCAGCAGCTTTGAGTTTTTGGATATAAGCTTCCAATTCTCTAGGATTATCCCATGTTATTTGAGCCTTTCCTCCAGGACCAGATTTTGAATGCTTGAAAAACATACAACTTTTGTAAGGTTTAATGACAAATATAGTCTACCAGCTAGCATACAGAATTGATAATATGAGAAAGATGGGTTTATTCCTAGTAAAAAATGGAGGACCTCCCTCTCACTACTGCACTAGAGACATAATAATCTGGCAAATCACAGACACGTGGGCATATCATTATAGCTACATCAATGCACTGGGGAAGCATTAATGCCAGACTTAACAGACCTTGAAATAAATCCACTGATGTTAAGACTCCTGCCCCACATGCATAAGCAGACATCTTAATCTGAGAGGACACCTTAAACTCCTCCCTTCCTCTTTGTTCTGCAGAGACCAAAACCCAAAATGTCACGCTAATAATTGCTATCCAACTTCACCTGTTTATCATGAAATAATTTTTTTAAATTACAAGGTAAAATTCCACTGACTCATAAGCAGCTTTGGGGAGTTCCTTTTCTCTGGGCTTTTTATCAAGATTCTGGGAGTTTTATGCATTTGCTAAGTTTACAGTAGAAAATCAGAAGAAAAAAGCATCTGAAGTTCCACAATTGGACATATTCCTAAAAGATGTAGGGCAGAAATCACGTCAAATAGGAGAATATGTTGTGCCTTTGAACACTTCTGCACCATCACTGTCTTAGGGTCTGCACACTAAAGGAATCTGTGGCATAATCTGCAGCCAGCCCAAGGAAAATTTAAGAGACAGTTTGGGAACTTTTTCCAGGGCACTTTTGAACCTACAGTTTGGTCTGGACTCTCCACCATTTTGTGTGAACTAGTCCCAACCCCAACAACCCTTCTACTTTCAGCCCCATTCTTATACTCTGTCTTGCACAATGGTTCTCAGGAGTGAGTTTCCAATCGTTTCTGTAATGCTTGCCCTGGAGGCATTATTCTCTTCTCCAATACAGAGTTTATGGGCATGTTATAATTCTCCAGCCATTCTCACATTGTAAGAGTGCTGGAAGAGGGTGGAGTGCTTCAAACTGATCAAAACTAGCAAACTGAAATTCATGATATACAACATGTTTCTCCAGACATAAAATAGAGATATGGTGTTAAAAAACTGTAGATAGTAGTGTAATTTTTAAGTTCGTATTGTCCCTTCAAAGCAGAAAAATGAAAATAAATAAGTAAATTCCTCCAAATTGCTCCAAATTCCTTAAAAGAATCTAAAACTTCTTTAAGTATAGTGAACTCCTTAGCAATTACAAAAAAACCCCCTCTTCTCAGAGCAACTGTATTATGTCTGAACACCAACCCACTGTAACAAACTGAATGCATAAGTCAATAATCAGGTAGATCCACAGATCCTCTGTTCTTAATCTAAACCGGAAACTATCCACTGTCAACCTGCACCAAACATGAATTAGAAATATTCAAGAGAATTACAAAATCCACAGATTTAATAACAGTCAAAACAGTGAAACCATTCCTTAATACTAATTTATCTCCAGAATAAAGTATATGCCATTTTTACTAAAATAGATCAAAATAATATCATTTAGAACTGTTAAAACAGGAGTTCCATTCCCAACTATTAAGGAATTGACCACATTGAGGTTCATGTGTAAATTCAAACACTAAAAATAATTCCCGAAAGAGCATATTACGTTAATATCTGAAGTAAAAAGGAGTAAGCAGTTGTTTAAATGACAATATAAAAAAAAAAAAAGCTCACTGATTTCAATAAATGCTAATTAAACAGATGGTGTTGCTTGTAGGGGAAGGCTGTAGTTAAAAAGTCCAGCAATAAACACAGAAAAAGCAGCACAGAATATGCACAGATACCACTGAAATTAAAAATACAAAGAAAGAGGAATTCTTTCACCTTAATTATCTGTTCAAATGCTAGAGCAGACTGTAACATCATTGGCTTCTGACTCTCAATCATTTGTTGATCAATAGAATTATAAAAATGCGCCACCTGTAAAAATGGAGAGATTAAATTTACAAGAACAGATAAGAATATTTATAAGCCAATAAATATAATGCAGGATATTTCTGAAAGTATTGCCCAATCAATACCATTAAGAAATGAGAATTAACTATACTAGTAAAATGTTTACAAAAATAAAGTACTATGCAATGCTAACGTGATCCTATCTTCTTCTAGTGATGAATTCTTATAGCAAAAACGACTGCTACTTACACATATCTGAGGTGATTATACTTCACTTTAAGGTTCAGCCTCTGATTTATTATAAGAGGAACAGTTCCACTATTGTATGCAAATGTAGGCATCTAGTGCCATTTCAGAGGCCTTCAAGTATCCATGACATCCACCAGGATATGACACAAGACCTAAAAAAGATCTATTTACTTCCAGATTGGCAGCTGGAGTAAGATGGATACCCTACAACTTGGTTTAGTTGTCCACACATAGACATCTAGTGCCTTTTGAGATGACTAAGGTTTCCAACTTGAGCACCTGTCAATGATACAGATGCATGGCTATCTTGTAGGTCTTGTGTCATCTCTGCCTTAGCTGTGCAGGTATCTCAGACACCAATGACACTTCATGTGAAACTGAATTGAGCTTATGTATCTACATAAGAATTTTTACCAATATATACATATGTATTCTTGCATCTTACAGTAACAGAAGAAAACTTGACATGGTATTTCAACTGAAATATAAGCCCAATAAAAACTTATGTAGCATTGAGTCCAATCAAAAAATAACCCCCCAAAAAACCAAACACACATTTCCATTAAAATACTTATTCATATATTTTCAGTTGAAAACTAGCAATGGTGAGGACAAGCTGGTCCATTTTATGACATTTTCCATCAGTTATAATAATCAGAAACTGAGACTAAAACCAGGAGATCAACGAATTACTTGTCTTATTTTTGTATACTCATACAGTAAGTTCATATGGCTTTAATACTATAATTCATTTGGTTTCAAAAAAAGACACATTCCGAAATTGTAAAGCATTTCTTTATTTTTGGTGTCTTTTAAGGACTCAGTTAATTTGTTCAAGAAACAAGTCACTTTCATGCAGACAAACACAGCAAAAAGCTTAACCACACAGTCAGAAAAGATAATAGTCTAGAAATGTTCTACTACTAAAGCTGGGAAGTCAGAACAGGAAGTTATTATGACATTTAATCTTATACCTGTTTGAGGATGACCGCCTGCTTACAGAACTTTTGTGCAGTGTTTGCAACATGCTGTATTTTAGCCGGTATAGCAAAACCAAGTGCTGATAGCTGACGTACTTCTCTTAGGAGAGTCACCAAACGATCTGAATAAAGTATGTTTAATGTTCCAAAAACATGATCCAACTCCATTACAGGACTATTAGCTTGGATGCTAAACCAAAATCAAATTAAACGTATTATTGAATATAATTTGATATTGATCCTTTCTTAGGTGCATTTTATAATAATATAATAAACAAGTCTAAATAGCTTGATGTCATTCTATTACATTTTTCTAGGTTTATTAACATTTTAATTTACTCAGAAGTTATTCTAGTAACCTTTCTCTTAATTCAAAGCCAGTGAAGACAAGAAAAAATGAACAATGCCTATTGGTTTTGCTCACAAAGTTTTTCTGGCCTGTTACAATAGTTAACATGTAACTCACAGCTAGACAGTATTTCTCAAAACCACCGAACCCATCATACTCTCTCTCTCAAGCAGGCACTTTACAGGCACCAGCCTTCAACACTGCAAAGGCAAAGAAATTCTCTGAGGGAACCAGTCTAAGAACCAGGACTTGGATCAGTGAAATGTTTTATATATATATATAATCAGATGCTAATAAGAACATCAGCCTATCTTTAGATTTTAGTCCAATTTTTTTTTCTACTGTAGTAATGCTTCTACCATCATCCTTTTAGGCTTCTTTCATAAAAACTTCAGCTTTACTCATTTTTTTCACTTTTTTTCTCATGTTTTTCTAGTTCCCATATCCATTGCATTCCCCTTTGCAGTGAGCTACCTCTTTTCTTTTCCTTTTAATTAATCTCTTCGCAACTTTTAAAATCTCACAATAACAAAATTCTATGGTACTAATAAATTAGATGGCTATTATATATTGGAGTGCTGAATCTGCTTATTTGTTATATTTGAGTGTTTGTCATAAAATAAAAGTTTACATATAAGTATCAACTCCTGCACCCTCTGAAACTGTGGACAAACTCTTTTTTCAAAGAAAGTTTGCAACACTCAGAGGTGCAGTCAGAGGCTATGTGGCTAATAAATTTAAAAAAAAAATTGTTAAAATATATTTTAATATCCCATAAAGTAATTTCATTATTTTGGGGAACACCATTCATGAGATTTATTTTCAGACACTTCTTTCACCTGCTCTATTTAGACTGCAGAATTTCTTGTGAATAGCAATTCATTTGTTACTCTACATGTCATCTGTATATCACAGCTATACTCTAACCTCATCTGGTTTCTAGACATTATCACTATATGGATTACAATGGATAACAAGTAGTAACAATAAGCAAACCAAACATTGCTTTCATTCCAGGTGCTACTAGAAACTGCAAGATTAGTTATTAACTGTATACTTCACCCTACCAACTAAGCCTGGCAGAAAGATGAAATGATAATGAACTCTCTGTTTCTCCACTCATTCTCAGTTCTGTAAAATTTATTTCCTTTGTCATGTTCTACTGAATTACACCACACTACAGATTTCAGCATAAACATTATTTAAACAAAAATGTATTTACCAAAGTCCTGATTTGGGATTTGATAATTCTGACTGGATATTCCTAGACCAATCATCAAATTGTTCTTGTTCATATACTTTTAACTGTTCCAGAAAAGAATCTGCACTTTGATGAAAAGTTTGAAATCCAGACAAGTCAGACAGAAGAACCTCTGCCAGCTTGATAGCATCATCCACCTTAAACACAATCACAAAGAAAGGAAGGTTAACTTCCCAGTATTTAATTAGAAAATAAAAATCACCACAATAACAATCAGTATTATAAAACATCAAAGTAGGATTCAAAAACAGATTAGAAAAAGAAAAGTGAATCCTGAATTGTGTCCCAGATGTTCAAATTCCCATTACAGTAAATTGGGTCCGAATAAGTTGTCTACCACAAGTGTCTACCACTATTAAGATATCCCAGAGTATCCCACCTGGTCTTTATTTAATTCTCCATAAAGGTACAGATCTCCAATGCATCTTTTGTTGTATCTATAAGGTCCATGCCAATACTCAAAGGTATTTCAAATGGGATTTCACATCTACATGTGGACAAATTAATCAAAACCCTAGTCAATACAATCAGCGGAGATTTGAGAGCAATTAAAAAACTTAGCACAGCCTGAAGTAGACACACAACTGACACCGCAACAGCTGAACTGCTCTCTAGGTCTTTAGCAAACTAAGCAGAAGAAATAATTGTGAAACCTGAGCTGCTGCTTTTCTCTCTGCAGGACACATAACAAAGTAACACTTTTAAGACCTCCGCCCTTCGTCACATTCAGCTGAAATGGGCCCTTGAGACTTCTGCAAATCAGAGGTGAATGCCAAAAAACTGGGCTAATAGTTATTCTGGAATAAGTAACTTCTATTCTCATTCAAATCTATAGTTATTGTAAACGGCACTTGTGTTTACAGAAAACATGTTGCTTTTAACTAGTCAATACTTTCCAAAAAAAGTTCCAGAGTTTCCAACTAAAGTGTAACAAACTAACAAAAATAATATAAGTTAAAATAGAGTCAAATATATTTTAAACTCATTCTGTTGTAAGAGAACACAGAATCGTTTAACATTTACTTTTACTACAGTCTCTGTAATAAATTGCCTGGCAGGCACTGACTGAAAAAAGTACTACTAAGAAATCCCTTTGATTTCAAGGGGACACTACACAGGTTAGCAATAACAATGAGAATCAGGATGTCAGAATCTGGCTATCTGTAAATCTTAAATACAATTTTAAAATGCAGACTGGAGGGTAAAATTTAACAAAAACACCTCCTCTCAGAATTTTGGTCTTTTTTTTTGCCAAAAAAAATTAGAGTCATAAAAGCAGAAAGTTCAGTGTATTACGAAAAGACTGTCTTCTGGGTCAGTTAATAAAATTCAACTTAGCAAGCAGCACCACTGATAAGGAATCTTGATTATATAACTCTCGGGAAGTCCACAAATCTCAAATACCACATTTTACGTTCTATGATAATATTGTGTCTGAACAGTAACGGAATCTGTTACCTTCATCTCCAGCTGCCGTACCCATACAATATTATTGACAACTTCAGAAAGGTTTTTGCCTGACAGTGGTCCAGAAACATCACCAGGAACACCATGGCATCGAGTTTCAAAATCTGTCTGATAGTCTAACACAAGCAAAAGATTCATGTTAGACCAGAAACCTTATAGAACAAGCTTAAAATTATTATTGTAGTTATAAAAATATACTAGGGATACTGACAAAATTCTAAAAGTAAATAAAGAATTCTAGTATTTGCAAAAAGAACTAATGCAATTAAATACTTTTAAACACATTTTTACCTTTGACATAATCTTGAAGTCTTGCTAGCAATGTTTCCCTTTCAAAAAGCAATTCTTTGCCTATATTTGGATGCTTTATCAGTTCCTTATATTTCTGAAATGTTTGAAGAAGCTGGAATATGAAGTTTAAAAATGTTATCTCTTTCTTCTGAAAAAAAATTGAACATATTCTGACACTACTCATTAGTGCTGTTCATAAGTACTGTCTTTGGCTCTAAGAACTTATTCCTGTGCTCTAAACTGACTACTTAAGAATTAAATAACTTTATCTTTAGGGAAGTTTTCAGACTACAAAAATACCCATACCTGCTGAGGACTGTCCTGAATTTCTGAAATAAATTTCTTCAGTTTGCTTGCTATTTTTTGTTCCGCTGGTGCAATAATTCTTTCATACTGAGAGACTGCTGCTTTCCATAATGGCTAGAGATAATGACTTCATAGGTTAGTTTAGGACTATCCATACACATCATAAAAAGTCACAGAAAAAATGTGAATAAATTAAAAATAAGCATTATACCTCTGTGTAAGGATTATAGTGTACAGGATTTAGGCCAGCAAAGGGTTCAAACACTTGGACAAGATGTAAAGCATTTTGTTCTCCAGCTGGCAGAAAGAATGTAAGTTTTTCATGCAGTGTTCTAACAGTTAGCACCTATAAGGGAAATAAATATTTGATATATCCAACATATTTTTACATAAAACTTGTATTTAGAAGCAAAAAGCACAAGCAGCACATCCCATCCCTCTCCTTTTTACAAGAAACTTTTGACAGGCTCAGGCAAACATGGATTATGGAATGCTATCTGAAAAGGCTATAAAAGTGTTTTAATGCGCTTTTTTAACTTAAAACAATATTGTTTAATTCTGTCTAATGAAATAAATGTGTATAATTCAAATCTCTACCTCATCAAGACGTTTGCCAAGTTTGGCTAACGATTCAGGGAAATATTTCTCATTTTTCCATGGATGTAGAGTATAACGTTGCCACAGTTGTCCAGTTAGGTACTCACAAGCTGACACCCACTGCTCACAAATCAAGATGCCAGCCTTTACATTTTCTTTAACACTGTGAAAAGCATCCTCCCACAAATTCAAAGCTGCTAGTTTTCTCTGAACATATCTACCTAGCGAGCCACCTAGAACAAAAAAAAGTATACAAAAGCAATATGTTATGTTTGTTTAAAATAATTCCTTTAAACGCTACACCACGTTCCAATCACATATTTAAAAAAACAGTGTAACATCTTGATTTCAAACCACACAAATGTATCAATAACTGATTATTTTGTTTCAGATTCAATAAATCTCTTAAACATCTCCAACTGAAACAGAGGCTGGTCCAACATCAGAAGCTGATGGATTTGGATTCTGGAATCCACGCACAAGCACCTGTCTTTATCAGCAGTAATGGCAGTAGCTGGCTGCGCCCAGCAATCCTTTCCCTCATGCACACACACATCTGGCAGCAGCAGACAAACTCACTGTCTTATGCCTGCCCCAGAACGTAGGACTGCTGTTGAGAGAATGAGAGAAGCAACCTCTCTGCACGTCCTGCTCTCACCTCCACACAGACTGAATCAACCTTCAAATGGGGGGTTATGTAAATAAATTTTCTCCTCTGAGAGGAAGACAAGGAGTCAAACAGAAACAAGACAAATCCAGTCCACAGGCTGAAAGGTATCCAACTCCATCTTGTTACTATCTATCATCTTCCTAAGCATGTATGAAGGCATCTACCAGAACTGGCTGAACTATTGCATACTGTAAGGCAAATAATATTCATGGATCATAATTACAAGAAGAAAGCACCTTAATGCTTTAGGTTACCACTGGTGCCTTTAGGAGGAAGAAGGTCTCTGCTCAAGGATTCATTTTACTTTTTCTCAACTGTTCATTTAATAAAGACTGCATAAAGGTTTACCTATTACATCCAAGAGATTATGCATGCGTGGCTGTGGATAAGGATCATGTTCTGTTTGTCTCCACACACCATCAACAGTATCTTTGGTAGTCTCCACCAAATCCACAACTTCAAATAATGAGAGACTATCCAAGTTGTAATAATCCTAGAAAAAAAATATCCTTAATACGATTACTTTGCAACTAGTACTGTAGAAACATATATACTTTTCTGAAGCTGGCAATTGCTATAGTTTCCTGGCGTTTATTGCTTACCAGAATATGGCATAATCCTCTCAAAAAACAAGCATTTGTGTAAGTTTATTCATGTGAAGAGTGCATTGATATCTGAAGTGCTATTCAAGGAAGCGCTTTACAGATGCCAAAAATTTTGCATGATGGCATTCGTCATCTGCATTTTCAGTTTTCCTTTTTATAATTTCATGAGTCAATTTCTAGTTCACAAACTGTAGCATACTGTTGTATTTCTACAGCAGCTCTTAGTATTCAGTGGTCAAATCTGCTCCCAATTAAATGTTGGCATTCCCCTGCACCATTGTCATTAGAAACTACATGAATGTAAAGTAAAATTTTGCCTAAAAAAAAAATAACTATATAGTTATATACTCATATATTTGAAAAGAGTGTACATATACTGACATGTATTTCATAAGAAGAGTGTTTTTTTCTAAGTCTACAAATATATTACTGATCACACAAAAGAAAACATACTTTTGCAATGTCCTCAAATAGGTCTTTAAAATGAGAAGCTCTCTCTTTACTACACCATTTACTTCCATGATGAGCACATTCTATCCAGAACTGAAATTCATCTGTTGGTGTAAGTATAGCTGCAAATAATAATGGAAAATGTTTTAATATGAAATACATGAATGGTCACAAAATATTTTCAATCAGAACATAACTTTCTAAAGCAAATTTTTACTATATGGTTATGTAATTATCCTTCAACTTCTGACTCTGACTAGATGTCGTATCAAGTTCATACCAAGAGACCAGAGCTGATCATGACTAATTCCAATTTACTCACTGCAACTTGTTATATTTCACATTCTGCAGTCACTGGGATAATGAAGACTGAAAACTCAACCTGTAAATAAATTATTTACTCCTAATTTAAAATTAACTATAAAAGACGTAATTGCGAAACAAACCTCGCACATCATCTTCACTGAATTTTGTTCCTGTGTAATTAGGATCTGATCTTCTGAGAACAGTACTCAAGCCAGCTTCAAGCTCACTTAAAAGTTTCTGGAGTTTGGGATCAAATGTTTTACTCCATCTCTCATCCTGCAATGAAAATTTCAAAAATTGTGACTCGTGATAGAACAATTACTATTTTCCTCCCATTAATCTTAAAAAAAAAATAATTATTCAGATTAATAGCAGTAACCTACCACACGATGGGACAATGTAATAATCTATTTTTCTTAAAGTCACGGAAAGCACCTCATTCTTTTCACTTAACAACTCAGCATAATACTGTAAAAAATTTTTTATCACAAAATCAAATGTCAGTTGTTTGGTTTATAAAGGCACTCTGAAAATGTGTTCAAAATTCTTTGTTAATGAATTCTGTTAAGTTTAAATTTGGAATCTACTTCTATAGTAGAATCTGGAAATTGCTAGAATCAAATATTAAAAGTTATTGTGTTTTTCTAAAATTATTTTATTAATATTATGACATACAAGAAATTAAAAATATTTAAATAGTGCAACTCTGCTTGTTCAGCTTATAAAATATAGCCATGGTCATCATTTTTGACAAAAAATCCACAAAGGAAATATATTCTTTAACGGAAGAGAAAGAAAAGCCTCAGAACATTTTAAAAAAGCAAAACTACGAAAAATGCAGTTGTACAAAGTAATCTAGAGTCTAGCACACCTATCTGCCACGTATTATAGAATAATAGTTTGCATGATACAGACCTATGCATTTCATATAAAATATAAGAATATCTAAAACAAGAAAAGGACACAAGACTGGAATTACTGGTGGAAAGGAGGTAAGGAGCTGCTGTCTCCATTAACCACCACTGCCCAGTGTATTCCACATTTCTAGTCAAGCATATGTATGACCAGAATCCTCCTCTCATCCTTACTGATAGGAGGTGAAGTACCTTCTTTAACTTAGAAATTAAAACTATCATCCATTATTTAAGCTCTTAAAATATTTTATTTTTAAAACATAAAATATTTATCTCAGAAGAGTTACCATCCTATGGAAATTCAATGTTTCAGTATAAATCTACAGAACATTTAAATTAGTATATTGCTAACCTTCAGTAATACTGGTGCAAAAACTTGTCGTACAGCTTGATAAAGGGTGTTAATTGGTGAATCTAGCATAGATGACACAAGAATATTACTATGAAGATTATCTTCTGTAATTACATCAGGTCGCAGCTTAAAGAACACCAACACATTATTCTTTGAATCAGTAGCTTCAATCTGTAATAATCAAGAAGACAGGATTTGTTTAGAAAACTGTCATTGACTGCATATTATACTAAATTACGTACAACATTTACACAAATTTTCTTGATTACATCAAGAAAAAAATATAAAATACCATATTACTCCCTATGGGGTCTGATATCATTCTGGTAGTATCTGAATGGCACAGAAAATGAAAACTTTTATTACATTTATCCCTGAGTTCATAGGAACCTGAACTCCAATATAAAATGTGTAATGCCTTTTTCATTATAAAATATCTGTAAATACAATAATTATTTATGCTATTTTGATTTTGAAAACTCCATTTACCACTTTCTGGGGACAAACCAGAAACTCCCTCTTGTGCCTAGAGAAAACTAAGCATGAAGTCTGTCTTTTTAATTGCATTTTTACACTACATAACTTTGGGAATATTTTTCTAAATATTCATTATTGTTCTCCTGAGTCTGTAAATACATAACTCTACTGCAATTCATACATTTCTCAAGGACAGAAAAAGGTGCGTTCCTTCATCAGTAAAATCATAAGTTGTAACATGACTCTCATTCCCTTCACAGTCCAACTTATGGGTAAAGTTTCAAAAATTGCCATAAAATCAATTATTGAAACTATTTGTGGCCGAGGAGAATTCATAAAACAGGAGAACATTATTAAATATTCGATAAAACAATAGCAAAAAGATACGCTAGCTGAAATCCCAAACTCTGTGCAATTGTAAACATCTGTGAACTTTTTTTTCTGTTAAAAGAAATAGAAGGCTGGTAAGAACAGCTTTCAATTTTACTGGACAGTATCAGTTTTACTTTCGTATCAAGTCTTTAGCCCAAGACCTACAGACATCATTTCACTGAGACAACAGGTATACATTATAGCCCCAATATGCATCTGATCTTCCATAGCTGCTGACAGTAGCTTTGTATACTAGACAGTGGCTCAGCAGCACACCCCAGAAAACTGGTACATGTAAATGTTCATTCTTGCATGAATATAGCATGCACTAGACTTCACAGGCTACACAGACGATTACACCAGGAGGTATGTAAGTTACTGGTCCACACAGCAGTTCATATGTTAACGACCCATTATACTAGTCTTCAGTGCAGAAAAAATCTGTCACTGACATAACAGACACTACGTCCCTGGTCTCACAGCAGAATGATGGGTCGCACGTCAAGACCCGTGCTTTGCCTCTACACTCCGTGTGGCAGGCACCACACCGTGTCCTGATTACATGGTGATATTCCCTGCACATCACACCCCATGGTATCACTTGGATGAGTCACTCACTGAACACAAACACTCAGCGCAGGACATTTCACACAATGAACCTCAGATTTGCTCACAGCTGGACACATCAATCTGCAAAATGCATGATTTGGACAAACAGCCACCTTGGGACTTGTCAAATATCAGCCAATGTGCCGCATATTGGGCCACGTTTCCTGCCTGGACATTGGCAATGCAATCCTTCCAGTCACCTGCATGCACCCTTGCCCAGGAACAACCTGTACATCAGACTCCACCTGGCATTTGCAGCAAGATAACATGCCATTCTCCAGGCTGCATTACATTCACACAGTGACAATATACAGCACACTAAAACTACATATCAGCGTGGGCACAGTCCACTAACAAATATATCACACGGCTGACCAGTCTTCACAGACTCTTGGGCCAGTAATTTATGCAGCAGACACTGAGACCAGCATAGATATTCGCAGTAGGAAGATGTCTCCCGAATCAGATACCAGTCTTTTATGACCACTAAACCTGGGCTGGACTCCAGGCTCTGCATCCCCAGTCGAACACTGGGATGCGGTGGACATGCTGGATCCATAGGTGCCTGCACACACTCGGCTGGACACTACGGTACCTTGTTGGACGCGGCGAGCTGGGTGCCCGAGTGCTGCACGACGAGGAGGAACTCATTGCCGTCGTCGAGGAAGTTGGTCAGCTCCGGACGGGAATGGAGCCCCGCGGCCAGGGCAGCGGGACCCACAGCTGGATCCAGTCCGAAGTAGTTAGCAGCCGTGGCTGAAATAAAGCGCTTCCTCTTGTCTCCCTCCCCGGCCATGCTGGCAGGACGCACCCTCGTCAGGCAGGGTCAAGGCGGGGGTGGATCCAGAACCCCACGGGAGTACATGGAGGGCTGACGGGAGAAGACCCAAAGGGCGGGCGGCGGGAAGGACGGCGGCTCTCGCCGGGGCACAAGGCGAGGCCCGAGGCCTCCCGGCGTCCCTGCGTTGCCAGGACCCGTCACTATGGTGACTCAATATGGCGGCCCTGGCGGGGTCGCGAGCTTGGTCCGGGTGGCGACGGGCAAGCGCCGCGCTGCTGCCGCCGGCGGGGAGAAAGGCAGCGGTCGACGCGCTCGGTAATCGGCAGGCACGCCAGGCTGAGCGAGGAGGGCG